ACCTGGGGAACCAATTTTACAATGCACTGTTTTTGATAAAAGCTGCAGGTTCAGGTTTAAGAACACTGGAGTATCATTTTCTTTTGAAGCTTGCAGCTCAGTAAAAGAATCCTGTGCTGAAATTAGGTTCCAAGAGGATACCCAGAACCCTTAGAATATTTCTAACACTGTCAGCGACTCTCTGGCAGAGCAAAGTCTATCCTAACACCTGGTACTTGAGATCATTTTAAAGTTGGAAATCAGGGATTGAACCCAGACCCCTTTTTTTGTAGAAAGCACATGCTCTGTTAGCTATAACATGATAGAGAGGACATAATACAATTTTATACAATTAATCACAGGGTAGAGAGAGTGGACAGAGATAACTCTTTCTCCCTCTCCCAAAATACTAGAGCTCAAGGGCACCCAATGAAGTTGATGGACTGTAGTTTCAGAATGGACAAAAGGAAATACTTCTTTAGACAATGAGTGCTGGCAACCCTAGTCAGGATTGGCCCCAATGAGTTCCCCACAAAGACCTGAAAAGGGCTTCCTTCCTTTGCCTTTTTACTGACAGAACAAAGCTTGGTTGCCTAGCAACAGTCATTGAGGGAAAAGTTAGTCCCACAGGAGCCAAGCAGGAGAAGTGTCTTCATCAGGAGAGACAGCTGTTTTGACAGTTTTTTTCCCGTAAGGGAAGAGTGTCCAGGCTGGCAATGGCATGTGAGTACTCTTGAGTGGTGGTTGATGGGCCGATGGAGTGCACTGCACAGCCAATGGAAGAGCTGGAAATGGCCAATATGTAAGGGAATCATATATATAGGATATCCCTTTTTATGCTGTAAAGAAGCCGTTTAGGAAAAATCAAACCATGGACTTCCACGATACCTCCTCCCATTGCACACAAGCTAATTTAGTTATTTCTTGGTTTTTGTCTTGTTCTTCCCTGGTAAACCAAGATAGCAAACGATAGCAGAAAACCAGGAAGTAATTGTCAGCTCATGGTGCACAAGTGGAAGAGGAAGGGAGTGTGCTTTGCAAGCTCATTCTCACAGGAACTATGAGTGCATCTTTGCAGGTCATGTATTAAAATATTTCTGAACTGCCTTTCTGTGCTAAAAGCAAACGAACTGGTTTACAAACAACAAATCAAATCACAGATCAGAAATCTCAGAGGCCCAAGCAAGTAAGAGTTTGATGGAAAAAGGCAATTGTTGGGCTTGCACACTCCCTCACATTGCAAGGCTCATTGAGACTAAAGACTTAAGTCTTCAAGTTAGCTAATCAACTATCCACTGATTTGCAGAAATGTCATTGTGAGGCTCTTCCCTCTCCAGCTCTGATGGCTTGCCGCAAGCATCTTGCTGAGTGCCTCTGGCAGGTCTCCCCGGGCCTCAGAATGGGGAATAAGGTGTGCCACCTTATTCCTTCTCCTTTTCCCAGAACCACAGCTCTTGCCACAACAGAGCTGCACCGCCCCCCCCCCCCAAGCCTTTCCCAGGAACCTGCCTTTAAAGGTCCAAATAGCCCTACCTCTTCTCTGGGTGGACCTGGCCTCTCTGGGGGAGGGCAGTGATTTCCTCTTACCTGTCCCTCTTTCTGAGCTGTTAGGTGGCTTCTCCCCCATAGATGACCTCCCTATTGCTTTAGTTGCTATTCCAGGGGCTTTAGCGAGATAGGTTGCTGGCCCTCAGTCGCTGCCCCTGCCTCGGGCTGCTGTTGGGCTTACTTGTCTTTGTACAGGCAACTCTGGCCCCACCTTGGCTTCTGCCCTGGCTTGCCCTTGTGCAGGCCTCTCTAGCCCTGTCCTGGCTCCTGTCCTGGCTGTGGAGGGTGCTGTCCTCTCTGGGCCACTCCATTGACAGGCCCCAGCATGTTCTTCTGCCTACACCTGGAGTCATGGTGCCAGATAAGGGTTGTTGCCCAGGAGGCTGCCTGTCTGTCTGTCAGCAGGGGTGGGGTCATTGGGAACTGCATCTCATGACAGCAGTGGATGATTTGGTGCTGAGTCCAGTGGTGTCTCTGGACAGACATATCCTGTGGTTACAGGTCTATCTCAAAGCAGTACTTCATTCTTACCCCCTCACCGCCAGCTTTAAACAAAGCAGAGCTGAGCCAGTCATTTCCAACTCCATAGACATCAAATCCAAATTAATAGTTAATTGAGGGGGGGGCATGGCTCATTGGTAGAGCAACTGCTTGGCATCCAGAAGGTCTCCAGTTCAATCCCTGGCATCTCCAGTAAGGATCAGGTCATAGGTGATAAGAAAGACCTTTGCCTGAAACCCTGGAAAGCAACTGCCAGTCTGAGTAGACAATACTGACTTTGATGGAGCAATGGTCCGATACAGTATAAGGTAGTTTCATGAGTTCAACAGTAGCAATGCACTCTTGCTCCATCTCTCCTACCTTTAACCCAGATTACATTAATATAATTTTTATTTTTAAAGGTCTTTTTTAAAGGTACCAGAACACATCCTGGCCAACGGCTTGTCTGTCAGCTCCAATCTTCTGCAAGGGAACAAAGTCAGGGCCTGCTTACTACCGTGACCCCCTTTCCCTTAACTTTACCACTCAGGCTCCCCTTCTGTCCCCTCTCATGGCCCAGACAGGTTAGGCAGTCCACAAGTTCACAATCCAACTTGTTTCTATTTTTACGAGAGCCCTGACCCATCTAAACACCAGGTCCCCACTTTCTTCCTCCAAGACAACCTTGGACAAGGCAGTGCAGTTCCTTCATCAACTGCCCCTCATCCAGATAATTCCTCAACCTATTGAGGATGGGGACTAAATACTGCTTCCCCTTATAGGCTGCTACCCCATAGGCTGGAGCCTGACTGATTTGAGTGAGCGTAGCTTTCTTCAGTGAGACAATTTATTCTCAGTCAACAGGGATGAACAAAAGGGAGAACTTTTATTTAAAACTTTAGGGAAAACTGGAGTGATCTATGTACAGGAATATATTCCTTGATTCTTGATCCTTAAATCTCCTAATTTGTTCAGTACTCTCTGTTATAAACCATCTTTTTCCAGTCAGCTTACAACTCAAGCTCCTTCACTCCCAAACAAAATCTCTCCATTCCTTTTTTTCTGTCACACCACTAACTGCTAACTGTCAGCCTCCCATCAACACACCACCAGCTCTCACTGGCTGCACTCAGAGAGGCAGAATGGGACCTGTCTATCACAACTACTTTAACATATCTTTACAAGGAATGGTTTTCACTGGAACAGATTTAGTAAATGTAAAATAATCCATATCTATTGTCTGTTCTGATTCACAGGGGCAAAGGATTTGCTCCACTACAGAAGGGTAACAATCCACACACACACATCTAAAATACATATTCCGTTCACATTAGTTCTGGCCACTAAAATCCAGCCCAAACAGAAAGATCTCATAACATTTCCCAAACATTTTTGGGTTCACACCTTGGCAAGTCTTCAGTTTCAGATGTACGATTATTCTCCAAAACTAACTAATTAGTTAACAACACGTTTTCACTGAAGAGTCATGATTTTATTGCATGCTCCAGAGATCTAAGTTCAAAAACATTCCAGGACATTCAACGCAGCCTGAATATATGTATACATTTTAATGAGAAGGTTTGGCAGAACAGTTTGGCAGGCAAATACATCGCTAGAGCATGCATTATAAAGATGTATCTCAAATTGCTTTGGACTCCTGCTTTAAGAGTTATTCTTCCCCTCCCCCAACAAACCACCTTTCAAGGCAGGCAAATTTATAGCTCAATTTTTTTGTATTAAAAATCAGAAGTGTGGGTTTTTTTGTTTTGTAAAAGAAAGCAGACTCTCAACGTCCCATTGCCAGGTATTAGGTTGCTGAACAAAAAAAACCTTGGAAGCCTGAATCAGTTCAGTCTCCATCTCTAAGACCCCAAAAATGTCTTTCCAATGTATACTGGCTGTTTTTTTCTATAATTTCTCTCTTCCCCCTCTCCTCCTCAAAAAAGCAATGATGTTAACAGGAAAGCTGAATATAAATAATGGCTCACAAAACCAAAATCATTGTTAGCCCTGCCAATAAAAATGTTCCTTCTCTTCAGGGATAGCTAAACAGCTGAAAGTGCTTCTAATGATCTGTTGGCAGTGCTAGCCAATGCAGTGCTAAACAGATAACTCTCTCTCTCTCCCTCTCTCTGAAGGTTGCTAAGTACTCACTTCCAAGTAAATCAATGGGACTGACTTCCAAGTATATAGGAATTAATGGGCAGATTAAAATGGAAAATTCAAAAGAACCTGAAATTGTTCTCTTTCTGCAGCTGCAATGCTATCCTTTCCCCAAGACTGATCCATGCCTCCTCTGAATTAGCGTCTGTGCTCATAAATGCAAATACGGTCTCTGCATATGAATTTGAATGTCTCAGGAAAATAATGTAATACTGATATTAGTATGAGAGCTGTGTTGGCTCAGAGGTTAAGATATGTAGAGTTGCAGACCGGAAGATCAGTAGCTCAACAGTTCGAGAACCTAGTGCCGCATGACGGAGTGAGCTCCCGTCTGTGCCCCAACTCCTGCCAACCTAGCAGTTTGAAAGCAAGAAACTGCAGGTAGATAAACAGGTACTGCTTTGGTGGGAAGGTAACAGCATTCTGTGTGCCTTGGTATTTAGTCATGCTGGCCACATGACCACGGAGAAGTCTTCAGACAGTGCTGGCTCTTCAGCTTGGAAATGGAAATAAGCACTGCCCCCTAGTGGGATTCGACTAGCTTTCGAGCAAGGGAAACCTTTACCCTTACCTTAATATTAGTAATAACAGTTTGTGTGAATGCACATGAAGGTATGAAGTGTCGGTAGTGAGGAAAATAGATTCCTACAAAACTCTCCTCTGTTCCTGAGCTCTTGTCCTACACAATGCAATATTCAGCAACCGTCTTTAAAATTTGGTGAAAAAACAATAATATTGGTGAGAAGAGTTTCAATAATGACTCAAATAGATAATAAAACATAAGGCCTAGATAACTGTTAGTCTAAATGAAGTAAGAAAAACAGACATACTTCATCTCCAGGACCTCCTCCAAATGTTTCCTCCTCTCAGCCCGCAAGTTGGTCAAGTGGGTTTCCTTCTCAGCCAGAGACTGTTGGGTACAGGAGAGCTTTGCTTTCATTGATTCTAGTTCTTGTTTCACTTTTTCCATAGCCATCATCAACTCTTCTACCTAAGGGTATGAAAGAGAAAGGGGAAAAAACACAATAAAAAACAATGTTTCCTATGCACCTCAGCCACTGAATTGTTTCTACCTCAATGAGGGGTGGGGGGGGGGGGGGGGGGGAGGAAATCTGGGACAATAATTACACAAAATATCAATTTCCCCATGTATTTAATATCTTTTTGAATCCTGATCTTCCTCCTTGTGTTCATATTAATATCCATTTAATGTTCCTATGAATCAACAGCAGATTTCAAACACACCTTTAGTACACATATGATAGTTTTGAGTTGGGCCTTACCTTATACTTTAGGCTTCACTGGTAACAAGAACTTACACTGGTAACACTGGTAACAAGTTCTTACTAAATAAGAACTTAAAGTCAAATAAGCAGTTACATTAAAAACTTAAGAACAGATGAAACCAGATGCTGAAACATTCAAGGTCAACATTTCAGCAACACTACAGTTAAGTATCATGAGACAATAAAATTAAGTATCTTTAGAGTGTTTTTTTGAGAACTTAATTGCAACTTGATTAATTGGCATGAACAGCTAGAACAGCAGCTTTCAGATTATCATTGGATAAATGCATATGCCATTGATAGGTTCTGTATTCAGTACCAAAAAAACCCTACCTGCAATATATTTTTTATCCCAGGCTTCTTTCAAGGAGTTCAGAGAAGCAAGCACAGTACTCCTTTTCCTATTTCATTCTCACAGCCACCTTGTGAAGTATGTTAAGCTGAGAAATACTGCCTAGCCCAGTGAGCTTCATGGAGTAGGTAGTGTGCATTAGCTATTTGTATTTCCAGTCACACTATGTCTACTTGTCACTTACTGGACACAGCACATCATTGTTACTAATTATTAAACAGGGAGAGTTCATAGATAAAATTGATTAAATTTTATGATTAAATTTCAGAGCTTTTGTAAAAAAAACAGGAAACAGATTTCACATTAAATTGGATTGTAAAGTAAATCCAACTAAATTTCAGCAATGTACTGTTACAGGGACCTTGAAAGTGATAAGTATAAGCTAAGACTATGGTTAGCATATTTACCAGTATTAATCGGGATCTAGCCCATCACTGCCTTGCTGTAGATGCCCTATCTAGACCAGCATCTTCATCCTGAATTAATGACACACTCTAAGATTAATCACTACTTATTTATCGGAAGGCTGTGGCTTATAGGGTTACTTTGTTCTGCTGGAAGTAGTAGGATACATGTTATAGGAGCCTGTGCATTATCTACTTTTATTCTTTGATCTAAGAACCTGGAGAAGAACCTGCTGACATTCAGTGTGGTTACAAATATATCATAGTGGAGGTACTTTTTTGGCATGCTGTCTGCTGAATAAGCCATCATGCTTCTCATAGGCCATGATCTATCCATGACCTCCATGCATTCCATAATTCTAACTGCCCAGGAACATGGGGAGAATTATGTTGTGTTTTACTATGCAGAAAAAAAAATCAGGATCAGAAGGTAAAAACCTAATAACAAGCAATCACTGTGATTTATGGCTACTGTATTTTATAATTAATAAAAGTACAAATGGTCCTTACACAGAAAAATACCACAACCAATAATGTGATCCAGTATCACAAAATTTAGAAAAGTCCCATCTTTGTGATATTGTGGAACAGTTTCTGTGCTAATACTCACTGGTAAAATGCTCTCTAAGCATCTGCTTTGCCCACAGAACATCCCAGTCCTTGATATCTCCAGCTTAAAGACTCTAGAGAGCCGCTGCCAGTCAGAACAGACAATACAGACCTTGGAAGACCATTGGTCTGACTTAGTATAAGGCAGTTCCATGTGATACTTTGCCCCTTCCTTTATCTGCATGTCCCAGATCATATTTCCCTGTTAGTTTACTCCCTTGAGGCCAACTGGTATTCAGAAATGCTATTGCAACTATTTCAATATTTCCATAGTAAATTGTGTCTTACACTCTTGTTCAACCACTTAGGTTCAGAATTATTCTCCTATCCCTGTTCTCTCAGGGAAGGATGAACAGAGTAGAAAATGCTCCTGGAAGTGGATCACCTTTGGATAGACTGGACCAGCACTACAGCAATAAACACTGTGCCAACGCCCAGCTGGTAGGACTCCGCCCATTTGTTTGCTGTCAAGGTAAAGAATTCAGAATCTTTAAGGTAAAAACAGGTTGCTTACCAGTAACTGGTGATCTTCGAGTGGTCATCTGTGCATTCACACCAATGGGATCTAGTGCGCCTGCGCTGGATCTGCCGGTGCCTAGCAAGCTCTTCTAGAAGGATTTTCGTGCCTGGCCCAACTGAGCATGCCCAGGAGCCCCAGTGAGCATGCCCAGAAGGGCAGGCATGGACATCCCGCCAGTTCCTACCAACCGCCGCGCATCAATCTCCTAACAAATCACGTAGAAGAAGACAGCAGCGGGGCAGGAGGGCGGGTGGTGTGAATGCACAGATGACCATTCGAAGATCACCAGTTATTGGTAAGCAACCTGTTTATCTTCTTCGTGGTCTCTGTGCTTCACACCAATGGGAGATTAGCGAGCAGTAGCCTACCTGGAGGCGGGTGCTGTCAGGTGTTTACTGCTTAGCCGATGATAAAACCTGACGTCCCAGACTGTCACTGGTGGACTGGCGGACGTCTAGGGCGTAGTGCCTGATAAAGGTAGTCGGCGTGGCCCAGGTTGCGGCTCTGCAAATGTCTTGCAGCTGTACTCCCTTCAGGAAAGCAGTGGATGTAGCGACAGCCCTGGTGGAATGAGCCCGTACTGGGCCTGGCAACGGCTATTTCGCCAGTAGGTAACACAGTTCTATCAGACCTACGATCCACTTGGATAGACGTTGGGCAGTGATTGGGGTGCCCATACGGGGTGTGACGTATGAGACAAACAGCTTAGGGGTTTGTCTGGTGGAGCGTGTCCTATTCAGGTAGAAGAGGAGG